TGCTTTTCTTCTTCTTTCTTTCTTTCTTTCTTATTCCGCTTTGTCTACATTTCTTTCTTTCTTTCTTTCTTTCTTTTCCCTATTTATACCTTTTTCTTTTTCCTTTATTATTCCCCTCTTTCTACCTTTCTTTTCTTTTCTTTTCTTTTCTTTTCTTTCTTTCTTTCTTTTTACCCTTTCCAGCCTTTCTTTCTTTCTTTCTTTTTTTTTCTTTCTTATTACCCTTTTTTCTACCTTTTTCTTTTCCCTCTCTTTCTTTCTTTCTTTCTTTCTTTCTTTCTTATTCCGCTTTGTCTACATTTCTTTCTTTCTTTTCCCCGATTTATACCTTTTTCTTTTTCCTTTATTATTCCCCTCTTTCTACCTTTCTTTTCTTTTCTTTTCTTTTCTTCTTTCTTTCTTTTTACCCTTTCCAGCCTTTCTTTCTTTCTTTCTTTCTTTCTTATTACCCTTTTTTCTACCTTTTTCTTTTCCCTCTTTCTTTCTTTCTTTCTTTCTTTCTTTCTTTCTTATTCTACATTTTTCTACCTTTCTTTTCTTTTCTTTGGTTCTTTGTTTGTTTCATTCTTTCTTTATTATTCACATTTTTCTACCTTTGTCTCTTTTCTCTTTTCTTTTTTTCTTTCTTTCTTCTTCATTCTTCTTTTTCCACGTTTCTTTTATCTTTCTTTCTTTTTATTATTCCCCGTTTTCTACATTTGTTTCTTTTCTGTCTTTCTTCTTTATTATTCTCCTTTTTCTTTCTTTTCTTTTTTATCGTTCTTTCTTTCTTATTGACTTTTTTCTACCTTTCTTTTCTTTCTTTCCCTCTTTCTTTCTTTTTTCCTTTTTTTTCTTTCTTGCTTCACTTCCTTTTCTTTGGTTTTTCGGTCTCTTTTTCACTTTTCTCTTTCAATTTTGGTCTTCTCATATTTTTCGATATCACTATTTCTTTCTTTTTTTCTATCTTTCTTTCTTTCTTTCTTTCTTTCTTTTTTCATTATTCCTCTTTTTCTACGTTTCTTTTCTTTTTCTTTCTTTTTATCATTCCCCTTTTTCTATCTTTGTCACTTTTCTTTTGTTTTCTTTCTTCTTTATTATACTCTTCTTTCTTTCTTTCTTTCTTTCTTTCTTTCTTTCTTTCTTTCTTTCATTTTTCGATCTTCCTTTGCTTTTCAACTTATTTTTTCTTTTTTTTTTACTTTCTTTCGTTACATAATTTCGGTTTCTTTCTTATTCTTTTCTTTCAATTTTCGTCTTCTAATATTTTTCGTCATCACTTTTTCTTTCTTTCTTTTTGTTACCCTTTCCACCCTTTGTTTCTTTCTATATTTATTTCTCATTATATGATCAGTTTTCGAGTTTTGTCTTATGAAATCTGCAAACGTTTTCTTTCATTCATTCATATTTTCTCTCTTCTTCAACAACTGCACATTTTTAATTTTTCAAAATTTGCTATTATTTATTTTGACCTTCCATTTTTGAGGGTGTGTCAGAAAATAAATAAATAGAATATTCCTGAAAAATCCTTTTCTTTCCTTTGGCCTTTTCGGTTGTCTGCCTCAGTGATCACTTCCAGCAGGAAATGACCAACATCCGGTTTACGAGAATTGTGGGATATTTGCTAGTCGTTTAAACTCACGAAACGATAAATTAAAAAATATCGGGAAAGAAAACGAAAAAAAATAGAAGAAAAAGAAAAAGAAGAGACAATAAATCCTGTCAAGACACACACATATATATATATGTAAAGATATGTAAGATTATGGCATACTGACGAAAAGGGGTGTCGGAAACGAAGAAATCTTCAATGAATGCATTGATATGTGCCTAACATGGAAGACAAGAATTTTATTTGATGAGCGTATCAAAAGTCAGTGTGGCGTAAACAGATAATTGACGGCACACCTTCTTCCTTGGCTTATATTCTAGGGCAGAGAGAAAACAGGAATTTGGAGAAAAAAAAAGTACTTTTCTTTCTATTGTGTAATCAGGAAAGGTTGGCGACAGTAACCGGAACATTAGATGTCGGCTAATATAAACATATAGACTCATATCTATCAACGTAAGTATGTCCGGCCGTTTGTGAAAATGTACACCTAACAAGCGTTTTCGAATCAAATATCTATCTATCTATCTATCTATCTATCTATCTATCTATCTATCTATCTATCTATCTATCTATTAAATAATATAGACAAGTTTTGTCTATTTATTTTAAGTGTTCCTTTCATATTATCCGTTCTTGCTGCATGAAAAATTTCAAAGCAACGACAAACTCGTTCATACGAGACGCGGAAGCGAAAATCGCGTCGCAGCAAGGGCGGACTATAATTGTCATCTTTGATAATGGCTTATGGAAGCCGAAAGCTTAGATTGGATTTAAACATGTATCAATGTGGTGATTTCCTTTCGTCTTTCAAAGATAATGTTATTAAGCTTATCAGACAATATGAAAGTAACTTACTTAAAATGAATAGACAAAACTTTATATTATTTAATGAAAACATGCATTAATGAAAAATTACTGCCTAAATATACACAATATATATATATATATATATATATATATATATATATATATATATATATATATATAGAGAGAGAGAGAGAGAGAGAGAGACACTGCAGTTCAAAAGTTTGAAGCCACCCCCAGAATTAACTCTGGCTGAACTTGACTGAATGTTATATAGGAATAAATGTCGCTGCCGACACTGTAGTTTGAACCTACATCGCCACTGAGCAAACACGGGCGATCCCGTTTTGGATAAGAAAATCCCTTTATAGTAAAGAAAATGCATATATGTGAATCAGCGTGGCGTCTAAGGATCACTATTTCTATTCTATCCTCTATTACTGTACAGATCCCTATTTCTATACTATCCTCCTTTGCTATACGGATCGCTATTCTCTATACTATTCACTATACTATTTCTCTATACTGATCACTATACTATTTCTCTATACTGATCACTATACTATTTCTCTATACTGATCACTATACGGATTACTTCGAAAGTGTGTTGGTCAAACTCGCTGCCTCCGGGCAGAAAAATCCCCAGACGAGGCTATATCGAAGAGCAGAGTTTCTCCTAGGGAAACATGTACCCGTTTTTACGGGGTCTACAGTGAATTTTTGACCGAGCCTATGAGCCCGGATACCCAACAATAAATTGGCTTTGTGCCGCATCCTAAAGCGTGGGCGGTTAGTGAACATCTCGCTATTTCTACACTATCCTCTATTACTATATGGATCGCTATTCTGTATACTATTCACTATACTATTTCTCTATACTGTTCACTATACGGATTACTATTCGTATAACTATTCGGTGGTTACTATTCGAGTGAGTATTATCGAGCAAGTACTATTAGTGTGGATGATATTCGAAGGCGTCTGACATCAGTATTGTTCAACGGCATTACTATAGTTGTATCTGCGATTACAAAGTCTCTACTACAACGAGCATTAGGAAAGTGACAACGAGGGTCCGTTGACATCAAACAACCAAAGAAAAAATGGTAAAGAGCTCTTAGAGTCATTGAGAAAAAGAATGGAATCAATTATCAAGCTTATACGTGCAGACTCTTTTGCAACGAATGCCGAAATTTGTGCTGCGGTAATCAAGGCATTTGACAAGAATAATTAATCTCGGATTAAAAACAAATACCGTAAATTGCAGCGTATAAGTCGACCTCAAGATTTTTTATCTTGGAATTCTGAGTTATGACGATATAAGGTCAATCCCCTAACATACAGTAGGCCACTAGTTATCCCAAACTTAGGCCTACCGGTAAATAAAGTTAAGCTGTAGTATATGATAACCTGTGCTAAAACTACAAAAAATCCCACCACTCAGCTGTATTTTGAAACACTAAACCTAATATCTTTCTATAGGCGTTGCATAGCAAACTACCTACAACACACACCATTAGGTACTATATACTGTATTGGTATTACTTAGCGAATATTTAAAATTCAGCAGGACTATTGATAATGACATTAAAGTCAACATCGAATCCTAGAAAATATTAATACCGAAGTTTACACATCATACCAGAAAGTATTCAAACTGCTACGTATCGTATGTTATTTTAAAACACTGTATCGCTCAACCGCCATTTGTATCAGTGAAGTAAACTAACAACCTGCTGACACAATCCTCTGCCTATAGAATACAGAATTTTTGTTAGTATTTTATTATTTTATATTAATTCTGTGTTAACATGCCAAATATATTCACCAAACACAAGATTCATCGGGATATATTTGTGACAGTCTGCTGAAGATAGGTTGAGCAGCTGCTGTTACAACTCGGGGCGTTCGAAGGCTATATTTTTGGCCGGGCCTACGGGCCCGGATGACCCACATTAAACTCGGCCTAAATATAGCTGTTACAACTCGATGGTAAAGAAGTTTTGCCTGTTGTACGCTATGGCCTTGTTCAGATGAATGGAATTTCGAATTCCCGAACCCTTTATTTCGTTCTCTGGGGTATATTGTCCTAGTTCCACGTGCCATGTCTCTTCCGTATCTCTCCGTCTTTAACTGAACTCTGCAAGTTTTTGTTCCCCACTGCCGTAGCCAGGTATTGAACTCACAACTCTTTGGGTCAAGTCACTGGACCCAACCAGCGTTTTTAACCGCAGTGGAACAATGTAAGTAATTACAATACCTCGTCTCAGAAATATAGGCAGATATCGCCGGTAAATATTTGCCTTTTATACAAGCCATTGGTCGATAGTTTTGCAGATATATTTTTTGGTTTAGACACTCGACTTTTCTTCACCGCAATTAACAATACTTCCCACGTTTACGTCTATGCAACAGCCTCATTTAGTAACCCTCTACCTTGAGTGGCTCTTGGGCTTTCTCACTTGGTCCATATGAGAGCCTAAATTTAGTAAACTTTCACCTCCAGTGGCTCATGTATTAGATAAATATTTAGTGAAAAAGTGTATTTGATATTCAAGGGCAAATACAACAGAACGTTGATACAATGTATAAACTCGAAAGTGTATGGTTGGGTAGAGAAAAAAAATGCAGTGAAGTTGTAGATAGCGGGAGTGGAAGTTGTTTTCGTATTTGGAAATGTGATTAGTAATGTTCTCTATTCAAACAGATTGCTCTGTTTTCGCATTTTACAGGGGTGACGTGTGAGTTAAGAGATGGGTTTATGCAAAAAGCATCGACCGGAATTCGAACTCGGATCTCCGATTCAAACTTCCGCTCCAATAACCGCCACGTTTGCGCACATCCTCCCCACTAAACATCAAATTTCATACACTTGAATGTTTATTCACGTTTCGCTATAAAAAACCAATAAACACAAGTGTAACTGCTGAACGGAAAAATATCCTTTATCTTGCTTGAGTTAATCACAAAATTTCTTATCACGTGAAGTTCCAGATATTGAATAACAAGTCATGTCCTTTTCATCATCGTTTTCAAACAATTTAATTTCAGGTGTGTCTATTGATTCTGCTGATGTTCATCAGCATTCCCCTATATATATATATATATATATATATATATATATATATATATATATATATATATATATATATATATAATATTGTGGAAATCTCTTTCGGCTTCTTGACTTCCAATCCAATGTAAAAATGTAAAAGCTGCATTGTCACCTTAAATTCCTGTCCTGTACACACATAGGTACACACACATATATTTATATATGAAGAAGATTATAGTCAAATAATTATGTAAGCCAAATGCTTCACATGGATAGAGTTGATCTACATACCAAAGTATACATTTGGAAAGAGATAGAAAGATAGAGATAGGGACTCATACCAAAGGATTTTATTCATATTGAGTTTACTTGTATGTTCCTATGTACCAAAGAACGTGATTCTAAATCTATCTATCTATCTATCTATCTATCTATCTATCTATCTATCTAAACCATTTTATATCAGTTTCTTTCATTATTTCTATCTATCTACTTTTAGCTATCAATCCATCTAAGCTTGTTTATATATCTATCTATCTATCTATCTATCTATCTATCTATCTATCTATCTATCTATCTATCTATCTCGGTCAGTTCATTATCTATCTATCTATCTATCTATCTATCTATCTATCTATCTATCTATCTATCTTAGTATTTTATCTATCTATCTATCTATCTATCTATCTATCTATCTATCTCTTTCAATATCGACCTATCACTTTTCGATTATTTCATTCGGTTCATATCTATCTATCTATTTATCTGTCTAAACCATTTTATATCAGTTTCTTTCATCATTTCTATCTAACTATCTAAACGTTTTTCTATTAGTTTCTTTATTTCTATCTATCAAATACCTATCTAAGCTTGTTTATGTTAATATCTATCTATCTATCTATCTATCTATCTATCTGCCTCAGTCTGTTCATTATCTATCTAAACCTTTTTTCTATTAGTTTCCTTATTTCTATCTATCAGTCTAGCTATCTAAGCTTGTTTATATCAGTATCCTTCTATCTATCTATCTACCTCGGTCTGTTCATTATCTATCTATCTATCTATCTATCTATCTATCTATCTATCTATCTATCTATCTCTTTTCAATAACTACCTATCACTTTTCGATTATCTATTTCATTCGGTTCATATCTATCTATCTATCTATCTATCTATCTATCTATCTATCTAAACCTTTTTTCTATAAGTTTCTTTATTTCTATCTATCAATTTATCTATCTAAGCTTGTTTATATCAATATCATTCTATCTATCTGCCACGGTCTGTTCATTATCTATCTATCTATCTATCTATCTATCTATCTATCTATCTATCTCGGTCTGTTCATTATCTATCTATCTATCTATCTATCTATCTATCTATCTATCTATCTATCTATCTATCTATCTCGGTCAGTTCATTATCTATCTATCTATCTATCTATCTATCAATCTATCTCTGCATTTCAGTATTTTCTTTCAAAGAAATTTGATTAGCTTGACGTGACGCAATAAATAATCACCAATAGTACGAAAACGGAAAGCCTGTTTGTTAGCAAAAGAGGCAGCGCAGTAATGTAAATTACAAACTGGGGATACCAAAATCAAGCAAGTACAACAGTTTAAATATCTGCGAATTGATTCAACATAGGACGGAATATATGACACTGTAATCTGAAGGTGTATTGGATATTGAAAGATGCCTTCCAAAAGCTAAGCAATGTATTAAGAAAAAGGAAAATTTCGTTAGGAACATTTTTACGTAATAAAATTATATGTCAATAATACTGGACAATCTTATCCCAGATGAAGAAGAGAAATGAAGCAACAGAAATTTTTTCTACAGGAGAATACTGAGAATACCATGGACTGAACATGTGAACGATGAAGGAGTTGTAGTTAAAATGAAAACAAAAATAACTTTTATACTTAACATCAAGAAGAGAGAGTTGACATTTCTCGTGCACTTAAGGAAAGAAGGCTTAGAAAATTTGGAACTCACAGGACAGATTGAAGGTAAATGGATCGCAGAGCAGAGTTTAGGGGAGATAAAAAAAAAAATTTAAAAAAATCTAAGAGCCACAAATGACATGAAATTGTGGAGAGCCATGACCGCCAACTTCCTGAAAGGACACACCACAAAGAAGAAGAAGAAGAAGAAGAAGAAGAAGAAGAAGAAGAAGAAGAACTAATTTGAGTAAATGAATGGCGGAACAGGGTTTAGGAGAGATAACAAAAAGACAAAATTTATTAAGAACTACAAAAGGACAGTAAGAACACTAGACTAGATAAATCTGTAATATTCAATGTACAGTTGAATTAGATCTATAAACAGACAAGATGGATTCTGGGGAGAAAGAATCTCTGGTACTCTACAGTGAACCAAGATTCTTCGCAGCACACCTAGGAATTGATTCACTATAATCATTCCACTTCATATCAGTGGAATAACATTAAATCAAGTCGGCACAATGAGTTGCTCACTTGAAGGTTAGCATCAGCCATGCTGATAGAAAGCAAAATTCGTTTGCTATGATGATTAACCCTAGAACACTAACCATCAATTAAAGGTACACCACTACTAACCATGGGTATATCATACCCGATTTTGAAAATATCAAAAAAATACATTATATATAAATCTTTATTTGAAATATTTTACATGTAGGCATTTCAAACTTTGTCCTTTAAATTAACATTATTAGAAATAAAAAAAAAAAAACATTATTTAGGTAAAAAAATCAGGTACTGAAAATTGTAATTAAAAATAGGAAAATTTGCGCTGGGTACTATATACCCATGGTTAGTGTTCTAGAGTTAAACACAATGTCCATTCAAGACGTAAGCGGTTCTAATACACCAAAGATTCATTTCCATTATTATCTGCGAATTACCGTGATTTCTTGAGAAGAATAGTGGAATGGTTTCCAGTTGCCATCTCTACAGATTTTTGAATTTAGAAATCTCAAAGTAGCTGCCGCTCAAGACTAGAAAGTCTTGTTTACAACTTAACACATAGCTAAGAAGGGTGAGAAAATATGGATTCGTGTCTTCCAGATAAAGAATACCATGAAAAAGAGGAATAGAAAATACAAGAAAAAACATCTCGATAAAGACAAAAAAATCGAAAAAGTGGAAAAGAAATAAAAAAAACGGTAAAGACAAAAAAAATGAAAAAGTTGACGAAATATGAAAGAAAATAAGTGAATAAAAATGTCTAAATGCAAAAAAAACAAAAAAACCCTCATCATTGAGCAATAGTTAGCAAGCTATTTTAACCCTAGAACACTAACCCTCAATTAAAGTTACACCACTACTAACCATGTGTATATCATACCCGATTTTGAAAATATCAAAAAAATATTAAATATAAATCATTTTTTGAAATATTTTACACGCAGGCACTTCAAACTTTCTACTTTGAGTTAACATTAATAGGAACTTAAAAACATATTATTTAGGTAAGAAAATCAGGTACTGAAAATTGTAATTAAAAATAGGGAAAATTGCGCTGGGTACTATATACCCATGGTTAGTGTTCTAGGGTTAAAAGAAAGTACTCTCGTTTTAGAGGCATTCTAATTTAAAAGTCATTTCTTACCCAAGTTAACAACTAACTTGAAGTCATTTTCTAAATCAGCCCCTATTTTTCCATAGCTATAAAGATAAGAGTAAATAGTTACGTTATCAGCATACAGACCATGATAGGAATTGGTATCATTGGAAAAGTCATTGACAAATCTGGGAAATAACGTAAGTCGAAAGATATGTTTTTCTTTGTGTTTTTGAGGTTTACACATGTGTTTTCAAAGTGTGGTGTTTTTGGGTAGTTTTTTTTTTTGCTAAATGTTGTTTTGTGTGAGTAGCTTCTCTCTTTTCAAGGATCTACTATTCATGTATATATATATATATATATATATATATATATTAGTGTGGTTTACTTCAGAAGCTATCTCGATTGGGGTTTGTCTGGTCCAGTCCCACAGTTGGACATTAGAGATTCTTGATGTCAATCTCGATTGGGGCTTGTCTGGTCCAGTCCCACAGTTGGTCGTTGGAGATTCTTTATGTTTATCTCGATTGAAGGCATCAAGGAATTCGAGAAGTTTATCCACCTGGGAGGCTTCGTCAGATGAAGATATCAGGAGCCGAATCAACAAAGCCCGCCACCCTTTCATAACTCTGCGGAGACCAATAACCCTTCTCACTTTACAACAAGATCCGGATCGTCAACACCAACGTCAAGTTGGTCCTGCTTTACGGCTCAGAAACCTGGTGGGTAACCAAGACCAACACCCACAAACTTCAGACATTTACCTTGGGAACATCAGGTGGCCAGAAGTCATCTTCAACAACCAATTTTGAGCAGGACTAAGCAAACCTCAATCGAGAAGGACATCAAGAAACGGAAATAGGGATGGATCGGCCACAAACTCTCCAAGCCTACTTCAAGTGTCACCAGGCAGGCCCTTAACTGGAATCCACAAGCGAAGCGAAAAATGGGTCGACGAAACCGACTTGGCGCAAAAGTGTTGACGATACTTAGGCATGGAAGTCATATGCTTGGTGTCTCTAGCTTTTTAAAAATAAAGATTTTTTGTAAATGTAAAAATAATTCAGGACCAGACAAGCCCCAATCGATATTGACATCAAGAAATGGAAATGCGGATGGATCGGCCACACACTCCGCAAGCCTACTTCTAGTGTCACCAGGCAGGCAGGCAGGCCCTTGACTGGGATCCACAAGGGAAGTGAAAAGTGGGTCGACCAAAACAGAAGTGTTGACGCAGAGGTGAAGGCAGCCGGCATGACATGTCGTAACCTATCAAATCTTTTATGTTTTTCTACATTTGTATTGCTGACTTTTATCACCTTACACTCATAATTCAATATTAAACTGGTTAGATTCCATCATTGCCGATCGGACCTCGAACTTTTTCTTAAAGCATTTCACCCCAAGCAAGGCGGGAGTGCCACTAGCGTGCAACGGGTTAAAGAGAGTGAAAGTAAGAGTAAAGAGGAGTGTTTGAGGAAAAGGATAAAGTGAAGGACGGGGGTCAAAGGTCAAGGCATCAAAAGATGTCGATTGACATTACATTTGAATATTTGAAGATTATCGCTATCAGGGAAGTAAGTGAAATGAAGGGAGTTCCACTGACCGGATGTGCGAGATAAGAAGCTCTTGGAGTAGAAGAGATGGCTACATTTAGTCATTTCGACAGTGAAAGTGTGGGACAGAGAAGTCAATTACTGAAATTAATGCAATTTGGGAACCAGTGAAAGTAACTCGTCGGAGCAGTTGCCATGAAAATACTTTTAGAAAAGACAGAGGGAAGCCACAGCTCGTCTGTGAGATATCGACTGTAGACGGGATGCCAGATCAGGACTAACCACGTTGCATATCCATCTTTGGAGTTTGTCAAGGACCTCGAGATGAACAGCGGGAGAACCAGACCATATATAGCAGCAGTATTCCATGCAAGGACGAATGGTTGATTTGTAGATTTAAAGGATGGACTCCGGCGAGAAAAACCTTCTGGCGCGACACAGAGAACCAATTTTCCTTGCCAGCAGACACAATGAATGCAGACCCCGTCGTGGATGCTCCATGCCTTGGGCCTTAAACTCACCCCTGACCCCAAATGGCACTCGTACATACGATCCATCGTTAACCAGGTATTGAATTCACACTTTTTGGGTCCTGTCACTGGAAATAACTAACGCCTTTATCCACTGTGTCCTTGAGGTTAAGGCGGTGGAGAACTTGGGGAGGGGAATTAACAGGATTTAACTGATAACTGACATCCATTAGACATGGCACGTGGAACTAGAAGAGTCTATCCCAGTGAGCGAAATAAAGGGTTCAGTCCGACATTCCAACCACCGGAGCATACAACGGCTGAAACGTTATAATATACATGGCCACAAAGATGAGGACAATAGTGCGAATAATGTAAATAGTATAAACATATTCATTAACAGTTTTGTCATATGGGACCCAGTCCAAATATGGTGAGTTTGCTTCAACTTTATTGTCAGTCACCCAGCATATCATATTCATGCACTGGAGATGACGCATTTTCTGAATGAGTTGAAAACGGTTTCTACTTTTACATTCACCCAAGCCTTTACTAGAAAATCTCACAAAATGTCCAATAGTGAATGAAACGTACTGATTTTTGTTTTCATTTTTACGAGTCGGGTGAAGGAAATCATTATTTGTTAATATAATAAAGATTTATGTTTAAACGTTCTATTATTTTATTCCTTTTGATTTCATAAAGATAAAGGCAAACAAAACAATATTTGTAATAACATCAGCTTTATTTTATACTCGTAGGAAAAAACATTACGATAGGCGACGTAGGCTAGCCGATATTTTCTCTCATCTTATTCTACGGATTTCAGACAAAATCACCAAAATTTTCCTAGATGTTGGATCTCGTCTTATCTATACGCCATCTTTTACGTGTAAATATACAATATATATTGTTGTGACCAAGTAAATGGTCAAGTAATAACAAAAACTAGGTTTGCAGATATATTAAACAGTAAGTACACCAGAAGAGTATTACACGATTAGTGAGAGTGTATCGAATGAATCAGCGCTCAGTCTATTCATGGTTCACTGTTCACTATTCCCCGAAGCCTTCTCTCCTACTAATCTTATAATAGGCGGAAGAGTCTAAGATAGACTCTTTAGAGAGGGAATATATATATATATATATATATATATATATATATATATATATATATATATATATATATGTTGTGACTAAGTAAATGGTCAAGTAAATACAAAAACCAGGTTTGCAGATATATCGTATATTAAACAGTAAGTACACCAGAAGAGAATTACACAACTAGTGAGAGTGTATCGAATGAACTAGCGCTCAATCTATTCAATCTTCCCCAAGGCCTTCTCTCTTACTAATCTTATAGTAGGCGGAAGAGTCTAAAATAGACACTTAAGAGGAGAACATCACAACATATATATATATATATATATATATATATATATATATATATATATATGTTAGACGTTACTTATATCGACTGAACTATTTATGTAAATGCTTTGTTTATCATAAACAGTATTAACAACATTTACCGACCTGAATGTCCGAGAAATTTCATAGAAAATATGCGTCCTTCGATAGGAATCGAACTTGTATCCTACAATTGTCGGACTTAGTCCATTTCATAATATTTAACGTCATTTGTTTATGTTAAAATACACTTCGTGCCGATATGAGCATTCGAGGGAAACCATGAGAAATTTGTAGTTTAACGTTGGGTTATGAATACTTGGCGCTATACACGGCGCTATATCAACCTTATTCAGTTTCTTCCTCGTCAGCGAGCTCCGGTTCTTGGTAGTGGATGCGCACTACTGATGAGTCCCAAATAGGACGAAAAGGTCGTCCAGTGCTTTCTGCATATTGTTGAGGATTTTTCTAGACTCGAGGAATTAATTACTATATATATATATATATATATATATATATATATATATATATAGTAGACAGATAGATCGATAAAAAAAAAAGAGGGTGAAAATTCCATCGAATGTTCACTAGATTTCAGTTTTCATTTTGAAATTGAGTTTCGTTTAGTATCCCAGATTATTTTGACAGTGATCAAAAAAAATTCTTTCATTGTGGAGCTTTCTAATCGATAATAATGCTGATTATATTTCTGTCAGTTAAATTTAAATTGTGTCACATTTCGTCGGGTTTTTAATCATTCCTGGAAAACGTTCCGAATAACAAATATATAAGGAAATATTTAAAAGAAATAGATCAGTGAAGTTAAAAAAATGTACCCACCCCGCAAAAAAAAATTAAAAAAAATTAAAAAAAAGCAACAAATGTTTCCACGTTGGGCCGCTTTATGCTTTTCTGGCAATGTCCCGTTTTCTTTCCTTATCGCTTTTTAAAAAATAATAATTCCCGCCCTTTTTTCTTCCCGCTTTTTTAATTTCCCGGTGATTTTTTGTTTCGCGCTTTTTAATTTGCCGCCCATTTTCTTTACTTCTTTTTTTTTCTATCTAATGCTATTTCTTTTTGTTTTCCTTTTCGTTTTTCTGCTTTTTTATTTTGTCCCGTCTTTTTTTTTTTAACTTCCCGCGTTTTTTTGTAATAAAAATAAAAACAAAAATAAATAAACAACTACACACACAGAAAAGAGAAAACAAAGTAAATAAATAAATATCGAACAGAAATAAAATACCTTCTGCTTCTTCCAGTTGAACGATAACTCTAAAACAGTTATTATGGCCGCGTTAAATTCTATTGGCAGTACGAAGTTATTGATCTAGAGAAAGACGAGGAGAAGGGCGTTTATATAATTATTATTATTTTTTTTTACTTCTGTTTCAGTGCAGTGGGAGGTGTAGGCAGACTAGGAATAAAAGAGATGTTTGGGAAGGATATCCTTGTTGATTGATGGCAATAGTCATTTTTGGGATATTTTCCCTGTGATGATTTCACAGCAGAAAAAAAAGAGAGTTTTGTTAACTGAAGAAACTTACGAGTGATCAAACTTATTATCTACGAGGTTAAAACATCGGACGTAAGGGTTCACTAAGTGTATCAGATCTATGGTATACATAGATACATAAATACATACCTCTGTGGCATATATATTAATTTATACTTTATTCTTGCATGCAATTGAACTAAGTGATACGGAACGTAAATTTACTCTAAAATATAAGAAATTCTATCTATCTCTCTATCTAAGTCGGATCATATCTATGTATCTATATACTCCTATCTATCATTTGATTTCTTTAAATCATTGATTCCTATACATTATCTATCTATCTATCTATCTATCTATCTATCTTAACCTATTCATATCTATCTATCTATCTATGCTAATATAATCATTATCCATCTATCATAGTATATTCATTACCGATCTATCTATGTATGTATCTCTCTCTATCTATCTAACCTAGTATATTCATTATCTATCTATCTATCTATCTATCTATCTATCTATCTATCTATCCTAGTATATTCATCATCTATCTAACCATATATCTATTCTAGTATATACATTATCTATCTATCCTTTTATATTCATTATCTATCTATCTATCTATCTATCTATCTATCTATGCTAATATAATCATTATCCATCTATCATAGTATATTCATTATCGATCTATGTATCTCTCTATCTCTCTATCTATCTAACCTAGTATATTCATTATCTATCTATCTATCGATCTATCTATCTATCTATTCTAGTATATACATTATCTATCTACCCTAGTATGTTCATTATCTATCTATCTATCTATCTATCTATCTATCTGTGCTAGTATATTCATCATCTATCTAACTATATATCTATTCTAGTATATACATTATCTATCTACCCTAGTACGTTCATTATCTATCTATCTATCTATCTCTCTATCTATCTATCTATCTATCTATCTTAGTATATTCATTATCTATCTATCCTTTTATATTCACTATCTATCTATCTATCTATCTATCTATCTATCTATCTATCTCATCTATCTATCTAGATAGATATGAATAGATAGAATAGCTTGCTATTTCAGCATATGCATTATCTATCTATCTATCTATCTATCTATATATCTATCTCAGGTCATAACTATTATCTATCTGTGTCATTCTGTTACAAGAAAGATGGCTAATGGTATCTTTAAGTTTGTTTTCGTTATTGGTTTGTTTTTGTCAACATCCTAACGATAGGTATAAATTTGAATGTCGAAGTACTAATTCTGTCCATTGTAGCCCATGGATGCATTAGGGCAATCACCCAAAATACTACTGGTTATGACTTAGTTCTCCAAACCATTCTCAGAATGAACACACTATATGAATTCCCATGTTGTGTGATTTTAAGGTACGGCGTCTGACTTTGTTTACAGTCTCGGTTGTTTTAAGCGATTCATCATCAAAGTACTGGCCATCATCATCATATTTCGACCTCTCTATTGTTAGTCAGAACTCCACTGACAATCCCTTTCCACGCTGTTCGGTCCTGCTGTCCTGAAATCTCCAATATCCAACCCTGAGTCCCGAGCTATGATGTCTGGAAAGTTAATTTTCATGAGTAGACACCTCCAGAAGGGTGCGGTAAAGAAGAGATGATTTCCCTCTTCCCTCGTTGGCAGTGGCCGTCAAACTGTAATGGTTTTTGTTTGAGTTTAAGAGAGATTGGTCACAGTTCTCCGTAAATTGTGTTAAGCGTTGCATGGGATCTCCAACTGATATTCCGCATTTTCCTAAGTAGATTTTCATATGTTTCATCCATTTCTACGCACCCCCACACACGCATAAATAAATAAATTCATTCCTAGCACACTCAACATTTTTGGATTGCTACGAAGATAAAAAAAATTAGAATTTTTGACACTTGAACTACTGAAAATTTAGTTGCCATGAACTACTTAACGCTTTGCTGCAATGAACTACTTAAACTACTTAGGAATCTTATTAATATCTTTTAACTAAATCTCTTGTTTACCATTGTACTATGTCTACCATAGAAAATCCGACGGTTGAAAAGTTCTATATTGGTAGTACTAAGAATTCTTTAAAGACTATTTAGAATTAACATTTATTGTCCTTTACTATTAATACTTATAGAAATAATACATCACTTTCTAAATATTTTTGGGGTCTGAAAGACGATAATAAAACTCATAAGGTGATATGAAAATTTTAAAATGGCAAGGACATATAGATCCCTATATGAACCCTGTTTTCTGCGTTTACATGAAAATTGACAAATGAACGGGTTCTTTTATAAGAATGCTTTATTAAATCAAAGGTCCGAGTTAATCGTAAATTGTAAATATAGTCTACCTATTACCTTAAATTCAGTTAGATATGGAATCTGACAACGCTTTTCCTAGATAAAAATTTCATTGAATCAATTGACAAACGAATAATTGTGAATGCTATAATTGAAAGGAAATGTAATAAGCTTTTCTTCTACTTCTTCTTTTATGCTATATGATTCATTCTTCTTCCTCTTCCACTTCTTCTTCCTCTTCCACTTCTTCTTCTCTATGCTATTTCTTCTTTTCTCCATCTTCTTCTCCTTCTTTTTCTATGCTATTTCATTCTTCTTCATTATTATTTCTCCCTTTCTTTTTCTTCTTGTGTCCTATATCTCTCATTCTTCTTCTTCTTCTTCTTCTTCTTCTTCTTCTTCTTCTTCTTCTATGCTATTTCTCTTTATTATTATTCTCCTCCTCCTTTTACTATGCTATTTCTTCCTTTCTTCTTCTTCTTCTTTACTATTTTTTCTTCTTCTCTTTCTCCTCAACCTCTTCCTCCTCCTCCTCCACCTTCTTCTTCTTCTTCTTCTTCTTCTTCTTCTATAATCTTTCTCATTTTCTTCTTTTTCTATGCTATTTCTTCCTTTCTTCTTCTTCTTTACTATTTTTTCTTCTTCTCTTTCTCCTCAATCTCTTCCTCCTCCCCCTTCTTCTTCTTCTATAATCTTTCTCATTTTCTTCTTTTTCTATGCTATTTCTTCCCTTCTTCTTCTTCACTATTTCTTCTCCTCCTCCTCCTTCTTCTTCTTCTTCTTCTTCTATAATCTTTCTCCTTTTTCTATGCTATTTCTCCCCTTCTTCCCCATCTTCTCTACTTCTTCTTGTATGATATTTTCTCTCATACTTCCACTTCTTCCATTTATATATCTTTCTTACCTCCCCTTTGGGCACATATTTTTTCACACCGAATGACTTTCTTCCTCCTTTCCTTATCCACGTGTCAACTATAAACAATCCTCTCCCCTCTACTATAATTAGCAAAAAAAAACAAAAAAACAAAAAAACTTCTGCTCTTGCCCCTCCCAAAGCATTCTCTCTCTCTCTCTCTCTCTCTCTCTCTCTTTTAGTCAGGCTCCCCCGATTTAGGCTTCCCGTTTTCTTGCCCACTCACTATAAAATATTTCTAACATTTACATTTTTGTAATATTTTGGTGACCTTCATCGAAGCTGCTGAAAATTTCCTGGGGATTTTCCTCAAGAATGAAAATAATTCAAAATATCAGGGTTTGAATTGTCTTTCTAACACGTTCAGCACGTCAGATTTGAAAATAAAATGAAACAAAATCCAAGATAACATTTCAAAAAAAAAAAAAAAAGATTATAACATTCATGTCATATGCAAATGACATAATCATACTTATTATAAAACCCAGGTTGTGTGTGTGTGTGTTCGTTTATATATTGGATCGGATTTCCTACATTTTTCAACCGATTTCAACAAAACTTCACAGGACAACGTAAAATTACCTTGCGGTGGTTCTGACAGCGCCAAAAATTGGAAAAACACAATTGTTTTTGCACGAAATCAATTTGAAAACACGATTAAGAGGCATCGCTGTCACGACAATAAAAGGGGGACAACTCATATCGAGTTATACTTATTATAAAACCCAGGTTTTTTTTTTGTGTGTGTGTTTATATATGGGATCGGATTTCCTACATTTTTCAACCGATTTCAACAAAACTTCACTTTTTTTTGGCAGGTAGTGTTTCTTATTGTCTTGCACACTTTTTTCTTTATTTTTACATTCAGAATGGTTTAAAAATTCCAAATTTACAAGACAATTGTTTATAATAAAATTCTATTCAATCGGTAAACTCATAACGATTGAAGACAATGTTTTTGTTTGAGTTTGGGTTTGACCAATTCGTAAAAAAAAACAAAAAAAAAACTAATTAAGACATGCGTGTCCGTCAACCTTAAACAATAATCTTTGTCAATTTTATTTTTCAGTCTTTATGATGGTCGATACTTGATCTATCTCTTACTGTTACATCCCCGGGCAACGCCAGGCTCTACAGCTAGTCATATATATGCCTTTAATTAATCACTCACACACACACACACACACACACACACACACACACATATATATATATATATATATATATATATATATATATATATGATAAAAAAGCTTAACCACTAATATTCCATGTTATAATTTATTACATTGGAATCGTAATCACGATCCAATTCATCCGACCTACAAATTCAAAAAGAAATCGGAAAATATAACTCCGGATATAAAGAATAAAATTTTAATGAGAGTGTATGAGTGGGAAACAAGTGTGAGAGGTAAATGTCTGAAAGCTCTAGAGTAATATATATATATATATATATATATAATACTTTAAATTCCTTGGGGTTTCTGTAACAAGCTAGTTTTTTTTTTAGTGAGTAGGTTGCTTACCTACTGTACGATCCCCAGCCTGTTTCTCAGGATTTGAATTTAGAGTTGTCTCTCTCCTAGATCAGTTGCCATCCAAGGTAATAGCTGACCTGCTATTTACCCATAGATGGGGAGAAAAAGATGATTCATACCTTTCCCAAGTGGATTAGCATGTAAGTGAATTCGACTAAAATCCGAACTCGGCTCTCCGAGTCCGCAGTCCGAACTGCTATACATTACTCCACTGTGCATCCTCCTGACATAGTCATATAGCATTTAATCTTATAACGCTTAAATCATTATTGTTCAAAATGTAATACGACTTTCTATAGTTCTAACAATAACATATTCTGATTAAGACATTGCTTTATTCCCAAACTGACCGGGCCAAAGTCCTGACATGTAGCATAATCTAAAGAAGACATTGCCGTATTTCCAAACTGGCAAGCCCAAAGCCCTGACATGTAGCATAATCTAAAGAAGACATTGCCGTATTTCTAAACTGGCCGGGCCAAAGCCCTGACATGAAGCATAATCTAAAGAAGACATTGCCGTATTCCCAAACTGGCCGGGCCAAAGCCCTGACATGTAGCATAATCTAAAGAAGACATTGCCGTATTCCCAAACTGGCCGGGCCAAAGCCCTGACATGAAGCATAATCTAAAGAAGACATTGCCGTATTCCCAAACTGGCCGGGCCAAAGCCCTGACATGAAGCATAATCTAAAGAAGACATTGCCGTATTCCCAAACTGGCCGGGCCAAAGCCCTGACATGTAGCATAATCTAAAGAAGACATTGCCGTATTTCCAAACTGGCCGGGCCAAAGCCCTGACATGTAGCATAATCTAAAGAAGACATTGCCGTATTTCCAAACTGGGTTGCCCAAAGCCCTGACATATAGCATAATCTAAAGAAGACATTGCCGTATTTCCAAACTGGCTGCCCCAAACCCTAAGGGTGGTATAATATGATGACAACATTGCCGTAATCAACCGGCCTTCCCCAAATCCCTGACTGCTGAATGATCTGATAAAGTGTTCTGACGTGATAAACCGTATCTTCGTCTTTGAACCTGGGCTTATGGCTCTCCACAACTGCCTACTCTTCCTAGCGCTTAGTAATATTCGTCTCATTCGTATCCCGCACTCCTGTTCTGTTATCAGCTACACAAACTCTTAGGCAAATTAATCGCAGTTATCCTTTATCCAGTCTTCCATCAGTTGGTTCACTGGGTGTCAACACTTCCACACGGTTTTACTCATTATGTGTTCCAGAAAATTTAACAATTTCTTTCAGATTTTATGTATACTTGCCCTTTTT